GGAGAAAGGAGGCCCCTGGAAAAGGCCAGGAAACAGACTCTCTTCTAGAGCTTTCAGTAGTATTGCATTCACCGACACCTTGATTTAAGCCCAGAGAGATCCCCGTGGCACGTCTGGCCTCCAGAATCCTAAGAGTATAAGTTTGTGTTATTCTAAGCCACCGAATTTGTGACAGTTTGTTACTATAGCAGTAATGAGAAACTAATACACCACCCCCACCACCAGTTGTGACAAACAAAAATGCCTTCACGTGTATCTCCATGTCCCCCGGAAAACAAAGTCGCCCCTTCCCCAGGTTGAAACCACTGCTCTACAGAATATAGAGTCATCCTCCCTGACAAGAGCCCAATGGGGTTCTTCATAATTCACGCTCCCCTACCTGTTGGACACTGCTATCCAACATGCAGGGAGACACAGCATATGCTCCAGCCACACCAGGCTTCTACCCTGCAAACTCTCTGCATCCTCCAGTCCTCTCTGCAGACGTGATGCCAAGGGGCAGCTTGGAGGGTGGGGGATGCACTTGGGCTGTCCTGTAATTTCTATCTGCCCCCACAGTTACCCTTCAAAAATGTGTCCTGTCTCTGGTGTCGTTGTTATTGTTGGGTGCCGTCAAATCCATTTCGACTCATAGCAACTCCATGTGACAGGTGAACTGGCCCCACAGAGTCATCAGGCTGTAATCTTCACATGCACAGATCGCCAGGTCTACAATGGAGCTGTTCGGTAGGTTCAAATGGCCAGCCTTTGGGTTAGCAGCTACACACTTAACCAGAGTTAACCAGGGTACCTTCTCTTTTCATCATGTTACCTTCTAAAAAGCCACATGGTTGCTTCATGCATTAAACTGTAGGTGCCCTAACCTCTTCCTCCAAGGAAACTACTGCATTGAAGCCCTTCAAAGCCCTGTGTGCTGGGAACTGTGGCATCACCAATGTCTCTGTGCCTTTGCACAGCCAAGCCCTTCTCTGTCAAGGAATCACTTCTTCTCATCTTCTCCTAAGTGGCAGATCTTCTACCCAGCATGTCCAGGAACCAAATTTTCCTAAACTAACCTGAAAGACAGTGAGGAAATCTCAGAGTTGAAGCTAACGTTGTCTAACACCTCCTGGGCAAAACAGTTGCAAAATGGCCATTTCTGGGCTTTGAGTGAGCATAAGTAATAGAGCTGCCATACTTATGAAAGTCTCAGGAGTGGGAGCCATTGACTCAACGGTTTAGTTGAAAACCAGAGGATCTGTTGAAAGAACTAAGCGGAAATAGGTGTGACCCCTTGCGGGCTCCACCTGCCAGTGACTTCTCCAGCTTTCCTGGCAGCAACAGACGATAAGGAGAGAGTTTAGCAAATCATAAGAGGTACATGGAGCAGGCAGGCATGACTCAAGAGGGACCTGAAGGGTTTTGGATTCAGAAGAAGACCCCCAAAGAAACTTGATCCCAGGTGAATACACTGTTTCAGGCACTCACTAGAGGGCCACAGGAAGTGCATCATTCAACTTCACTAGAGGTGGTGTAGTGCCTAAGGCATTTGACTGCTAACCAGAAAGTTGGCAGTTCAAACCCACCAGCCACTCAGCGGAAGGAAGACTGGGCAATCTACTTCCATAAAGATTTACCACCTCGGAAACCCAATGGGGGTCACTGTGAGTCGGAATCAACTCGATAGCTGTGGGTTTGGTTTGGTTTAGAGAAATGACTCTCAGCCAGGAGGCTTGGCCCTCCAGGGGACATCGGGCAGTGTCTGTAGGTGTCTTTGGTGATCACACTGGTGGGGAGCGTGTTACTGGCATCTAGTGAGTGGAGAGCAGGGATGCTGCTGAACATCCTACAATGCACAGGGCAATCCCCACCACAAAGAATGTTCCAGCCCCAAATGTCCACGGGGCCGAAGCTGAGAAACCCCGAGCAACAGCAACTAGAAACCAGGCTGGAGCTAAATCCCTATGAGCCTAACCCTCCCCACAAGAGCCTCTCAGTAACCCCGCAAGGTGCCCACCACTGGAACTTTGGCCATCATTAGTAAAGATTTGCTTTTAGGGCGAAGGACCCAGCTTGTTTGCAAGAGAGAACAAGCAATGGCCAATCTGATGAATTTCCCTTGGTTTCTGAGAGGACTCCTAGGTGTTAAACCATTGAAGGGTAACTCAGAGCATTAAATTTCAGGCACACATTTCTCAGGCTCCTTTGTCAGCTTGCTCTGGTGGAGCAGTAGTTAGCTTGGGTTTTTGTCAGTTTGATTCCAGATGGGTTCGGCAAATGGGAGCTCTCCCATGAAGTTCAAAGGCGAGAGGAAGGTAGAAGCCCTTCTGCTTCTGGCAGGGCTCGGACCACATCAGCAGTGAGTGGGAATCTGAGGGCTTCTGCTTCTTGACCTTGGGCAGTACCTTTCCTTCCTTGTGCTCCTCTAAACCAACAGTGCTGGTGCCTTCCTGATCTCTGCATGCCCCCTCTATCCCTCCTATGTTTCTCCACATCTCTCCATACCTTTGTAAGAAATCTCTTGCATTAAACACTTTCTGACTTGGAAAAAAATAATAATACAAATAAAAAGAAATTCCAGGCCCAGGGATTATGTTGGGATTCTTGGGCCACTGCTAAACAAAACCAGCCTTGGATCTACGCACCAGGGTCCCATTCAATCACTCCGTGTCTGCCTCAAGCTTAAAGGGATATACACACATGCACACACACACACACACACGTATGCACACATGCAGGCATGCAAATATTTTATGAGAAAACTATGTTCTTTTGAGGAGCTCTGGTGGCACTGTGGTTATAGCATTGGGCTGCTAACCAAAAGGCTGGAACCCACCAGAGGTTTAGTGGGAGAAAGATGAGGCAGTCTGCTTCCATAAAGACTGATAGCTTTGGCAACCCTATGAGGCAGTTCTACTCTGTCCTATTGTTGTTATATGCTGTCGAGTCAGACCCAACTCATAGTGAGCCCTCCTTGGGTTTCCGAGGCAGTATCACTACAGAAGTAGATTGCCCCATCTTCCTTCC